TTGCAAATGGTGCTTCCTTATAAAAAAATGTAAGGTAGTAAAGAGGACAATGTGTTCGTATTTTATATTCCATTCTCCCAAATCTCCACTAATGTTATAAATGCCAAGTCCTCCTCAGCATCATTACTATAACTTACTGTTAGTCTCCAAAGGGAAAATATATTTCCTGGAAAGTGGAAGGCAAAAGGAAGAGGGGGCGACCAAGGGCAAGATGGATGGATGGCATCCTTGAAGTGACTGGACTGACCTTGAAGGAGCTGGGGGTGGTGACGGCCGACAGGGAGCTCTGGCGTGGGCTGGTCCATGAGGTCACGAAGAGTCGGAGACGACTGAACGAATGAACAACAACAACATGATTTGCAACCAAGATCAAAATATTTCTAGGAACCAGGAAATAAAAGGAAAGCTTCTTAAAAACTCAGCAACACTGCACATTTTATTGTGTGGTAGTTGATAGTTCTGCTGAGGACTGATATTCATGTTGTGTCTGTGTTCCCTTAACTGGTTAGAAACTGTTAATGTCTTGGGCGAGTAAATCTTCCCCTCTGGTATCAAATGGGCATTAGGGATATTTGTTGGCCTTGTGATCAACATCCACAAGAAGAACAACACATCAGAAGCAGCATTCCATATTGGCTCCCACGGTGTTACCATTCAGCACACTGCATGATACAACTGCAGTCAGCAAAGGAGTTCTGTGGTGTTGATGAATCGGGCACTGAATGATGGCACATCCATCCACCACTTGACCACAAGCAATGGTAGGATCAGGAATTGTGACAGAAGCCCACAAGGTCGCTCTTTCTGCTTCTCACACTGTGGCTATGTGGTTGAAGGGACAGGAGGCATATAATTCTTCAGTATTCCTTTCTCCAGCACTTCTGATACACTTTGGCTGATGTGGTCACTTGGCTTTTAAGGTGGAGCTTCTGGGGTTGGATTGACAGGTAGACGTTACCTACATCTCTCCTTGCAGGAACATGGCTCATTTTATTAAAATTCTTATGTTTTAAAAGTATTTTAAGACACTTTATAAATCCGCATTTATTTCATGGTTTCTGTATCAAAATACATTTGGTACATGTGCATGATTCTTCTATATTAAATACTAGCTTATGTTCCTGGCATTGCCAGCATATGCAGTCTCTAATGCTGTTTATTAGAAATTGCTAGCTTTGTGGTTTTATGAATGGCCACATTAGAAAATGTATACCTGTGTAATGGGGCCTTTTAAAAATTGTACATGTGACAGATTTAAAACCTGGTGAATCTGCAACTCCTATAAAAGCAAGAACTGGCTGGCTGAAAATCTCACCAGGATCAGATCTGGCCAGGTGGAATTGCCATTATCCTCAGATCTGGGTGGGTTCAACTCCCATCAATCCCAGATCTTTCCTGCTAGAAATCCCATCTGTCAGATTTGGTTGGGTTGGAACTGGTGTTGACATAGCTCTCTGGATTTGGGTGGACTTCGGCTTCTATCATCCTCTTTCTTGTCTCCCCCACCCCAAAAAGTCCCACCATCATTGTAAATCGAAGGGTTTGATGTAGATGCACTGTAGCTGGATACACATGGCACTTCAGATGTGGATGGGCCATAACTCTCATCAACATCCTCTGTCATTATCCCCCAACCTCACCAGTGTTTTAAGTTGGTCATGATGGGCATATGTAACAGGTTTGGTTGAGAGCAGACCTCAGTTCCAATTATCCCATTGAGTACAGAAGAAACAAGAAGCTAAGTTAGGGTGGCAATGTCTGAGACCAAGGCATCCTCATACTAAATTCTTTTATTTTACCAGTTTGATTCAGAGTCATCACAATGACTGGCATCCTGCTGGTTATTCCCAGCTAGAGTAGATCCTTTCATTGGTTGAATGATGAATCAACATATAGGTAAAATCAATGGAATCAGTGAATTCTAACAACAAAACCTTTGTTATACTCTCTCCTCACCATTCATCTTTTACTATTTCTTTTTTTTAAAGATCTCCGTTTAATGAATGGCACAAGTCCCTGCTCAGGGAGGGTTGAAGTCTTTCACAATGACACATGGGGGACCATTTGTGATGCTGGCTGGGATTTACAGGATGCCCAAGTGGTCTGCAGCCAGCTGGGCTGTGGAGATGCCCCCAAAGCATTAGGTGGAGCACACTATGGCCAAGGATCGGGCCCCATTTGGCTGGAGAGCATCAACTGTACAGGAGAAGAAGCATCCCTGAAGGAGTGCCAGAAAGGACGCTGGGGAGAGCAGAGTTGCAGCCACAGCCAGGATGCCAGCGTGGAGTGTTCAGGTACATGCCTTTCACACGTTTCACTTCCTCAAATCTAGATCAGGCTCATGCCTCCCCAAAATGATCTAGGTCAGGACAATATTCTCTCTCTTCTAGAACCATCAGCTGTTCTGGAAAAAAGTTTAGAGTGCATCTAGATGGCTTGATGGCTGGGTCTAAAACTATATATCTCAAAAATATTATAACCCACCCTTTACGTCAGATATATTCAATAGCTGCTTCCAGTCTTCATTATTAGCATTATTTTCCCACAGAGGAAAGGCTCCTCCCAAAGCCCATTCCAGTTATTCCTTTTTTGTGAGCCAGCTGCAAAATCTTTAAACCTTAAACATGCAGTCTATGCCTTGTATTTTTAAAGAGACGATGTATAAAAAGAAGCAGGACCCACCCTCAAAGACCCCAAAGGCCATGACAAGCCCATTTAGCACTTGTTCTTCTACCTTCCCGTGTTTTTCTTAGGATCAAACTTGTTTCCCCATGGCCTCCGATGTTTTGCATAACTGATAGCAACCAACATTGTGTCTTTCAATGGTTGAGCTAGCCTTCCATCTTTGTTGCCAGCTGTTGAATCCTCCCTTGAGATCAGCATTCACCTGGGAGTGGCTGCCTTGGTCTTCCTTGCCTTGGTGGGGATTGTGGCTGAGGCTGGATGCAGGAGAAGGAGGAAGACCATCAGGAGGAGGAGGAGGAAGAGGAGGAGAGAGCAGCAGCCTTGAGTAGCCCTCTTCACCGGCCAGTTCCAGGGACCAAGGTCTGTCTGCCAGTACGGTGGAGCCAGAGGCAGAAGGAATGCCATGTGCAGTTAGAGTCTACAGTAATCTACCAGTATAACAATATACAGTGAATAAATATCATATATCATTGTATATCTATATGCATTTTTTAAAAAAATAAAAATAAATGTCTTGTTAGCCATGTATAAGTATGTGAGAGGAAGCCACAGGGAGGAGGGAGCAAGCTTGTTTTCTGCTTCCTTGGAGACTAGGACGCGGAACAATGGCTTCAAACTACAAGAGAGGAGATTCCATCTGAACATGAGGAAGAACTTACTGACTGTGAGAGCCGTTCAGCAGTGGAACTCTCTGCCCCGGAATGTGGTAGAGGCTCCTTCTTTAAACATAGGCTGGATGGTCATCTGTCGGGGGTGCTTTGAATGCAAAATTCCTGCTTCTTGGCACAGGATTGGACTGGATGGCCCATGAGGTCTCTTCCAACTCTATGATTCTATGTCCAGTTTTAGTACTATGTACTAAAATGTTAATCAAATAAATAAATCTTACCTTTTTGTCTTTCTAAGAATATGGGTGATTGACGTGGTGGGAATAAAACGCCTTGTGCTCTCATTCCACAGCCATCAATGTCTTATTACTATGCATTTGTCATTTATGGAGAAGTCAGAGTCAGATTTGTTCAGTGGAGAAATAGAAGTATTAAAGTTAGAACTGGAGTCAATGGGATCATTTTGAGCCCTGTATGGGATATTCTCTGATTGGCTGCAATGGATTTTCTGGCTTCTTCAAAACATTCTGTTGAGTTTTTTAATGTACTGTTTTGGGATTAATTTGTGCTCTTTTCAGTCAGACCTGCCCAGTCCATTTTATATTATGAATGTTCAATTTACACTCTATTAGTATTGCATTTTTATCCTTGTACTATGCTTTTTAATTACATGCATTTTATGGTAATTTTTAATATTTGTATTTCATGATATGTGTTTTATAATACAATGCTTTAACTGTGTTCTACACCACCTGAAGCCATGAGGAGATGTGGGAAACAAATAAGCAGGAGAAGGAGAGGACCATGACCAGGGCTCCTTTTGGCCATGGAGACCCACTGGGTGCTCTGGGTGAATCCCTAATTTTCCATGACGGGTTCTCCTGAACCTTACCATAAATTAGAAATTTCTTAAAGGCACACAATGAAAACAACTCACGTAATCATTGAAATTCACATTACTGTTATTTCTTTCATGTTCCTAAAGTGAACATTTTATATCAATAAACCATTTAACGAATCTTAATTACCTGTGTGGATCTGGGTTCTTTATGCCTACTTCTACATTTCCCACTCCTGAGCACTCTGAAAACCCTAATTAGTGAGCCCCATTAATCTAGTTCATGTGTGTTGTCACAAAGACGGAGTTTGTGTTCTTTCTTTGTAGAAGAGGGGAGACTGCATAATCTGCACACTTGAGACTACATAGCTCTGGATAATATACCAGTGACACCAGATCTGGGTTTAAACACTATGCATGTAACTTTTATTCAGCATTTAAAATCATACATTGCCTTGGCACCAAGCGGAACCACACTCACACACATTCACTCACACTCACCAATCTTCTCACAAAGGACTTGTTGCAGCAGGCCAACCATTTACCAGGATTCCATGGGTTTCATTGGGGAAGGAAGAAGGCAGAGATACAGCTTGGCAGAGTTCCAGTATTTTATTCTTACCCGGGTAAGGGTGCTCAGCTCCTCAAGATGGCTGATGAAGCACACAGCTCTGTCCAAGTTAGCCCGGTATTTATAGAGAGAATTACCAGTTTGCACATGCGTATACCAACTCTGCCACGTACACAATACATAATCATTAACAGAATTCTTATATAAGAACACTTTTGGCAAATCATCACGGCCCCAAATATTTGTCTTTCCATCAACCTTTAGCCTTATCCCCAGATGACATGTTTACGTGTTCCTAATTTTCTTAGATCTTAAAATTAATCATAACTTCATATATATGCTTTTTAACATAAAACTTATTCAAAGTAATTTCCTTATTAATTCTGTAATTATTTTCATAATCTTGTTTTACTGGAATTGGTCATTTTATAGAATATGTCTGAAATTACCTGCTATTTACATCAAATAGACAGGAGATAGCGCTCTCTTACTATATGCCCTTAGATGTTCCAGTCTTGGATCAATAGATATCGATTTACCTTACTCATTAGGCCTCTGGCCTTCTATGTTTAGCCTTCGACTTCTTCAAATATTTGTTTATGGAACAAGCCACCCCGACCTCTTATTGATTCATACCATCTGCTGATTTTCCCTTACTCTAAAAATCTTCTTTCAAGCGTCAGCACTAAGGTAAGACTTTACTGTTCATTTTAAATTCATTATAAGGGGATGCTGATGCAGTGCTTCATTTGACAACAACAGCCAGATCAGAAGAAGGTCTCCTTTTATATTATTTAGGAGCAAGTTTAGTCTATGACTAAACAGGGCCTTTTCTGTGGTGGCCCCTCAGCTATGGAACGTCCTTCCCATGGAGGTAAGATCAGCCCCCTTGCTGATGGTGTTCCGAAGAAGATTAAAAACCTGGATGTTCGA